ACCCCAAATTCATAAGACAAATTTAAAATCGAAGAATTTTAAAAGTTTAAAAAGTTTAAAAGAAAGGTTAGGCCAGGCCTACCTGTTATTAGATAACAGATAGGTTTTAGTTTGAATGTTTTAAACTTTGGGCCAAAGTCATATAATTCTTTTTTTAAAAAATTAAATTTTGTATTGGTATGTGTTTTAGTTCTGGCTGTGCACTGCCCTGAGTCCACTAGGAGAAGGGTGGGATACAAATTGAATAAAATAAATAAATAAATAAATAAATAAATAAATAAATAAATAAATAAATAAAAGTATAAACATGATTATGAAAACATGAAGTGGATACGAATAAAAGGGAACATTAGGACAGGGAAGGTAGGCAAGCTGGTGGCTTATGCACACCCCTTAAAGACTACTTTATGTATTCATTGTTTATTTATTCATTTATTTATTCATTGTTAAAGAAACAATGCAAGAATGTAACCTAAACCAAAAAAGCCGTACCTAAATAGATAGTTGCCCCCCCTTCCCTAAATCCCATCAGCGGTGATCAGTCTTGTGAATCAACAAAGCTATTTGGAGGATAAAAGGAATCTTGGAAGCCCACCCAATCTTTCTCACTGAAAAAGAAAAAGTGAAAAAGTGCCAGCCTGGGTGAGAAAGCTGTTGGTAAGTTATGGATGAATGTGTGGGAAAGGGCAATTGTCACAAGTCAAGTTTTGCTGTTCAATTAATTATAAGCACCACTGCAATCGAACCAGCCTTATTATTTTTTTTATTTTTATTTTTATTTTATTTTTTTGCTTTAATTTATATGCCGCCCTTCTCCGGAGACTCAGGGCGGCTTACAATGCGTTAAGCAATAGCCTTCATACTTCTGTATATTTATACAAAGTCAGCTTATTGCCCCCACAATCTGGGTCCTCATTTCACCTACCTTAGAAAGGATGGAAGGCTGAGTCAACCTTGAGCCTGGGGAGATTTGAACTTGCAGTAATTGCAAGCAGCAGATGTTAAATACAGCGCTTTAGTCCACTGTACTACAGGCTCATTTATTTAAAACTTAAAATAAATTTTAATCAATAAAATTGCTGTTATTTAAATTCTTACTGGGTTATGCCTCAGTGTCCGTTTGATAGTGAACTGGTTGTGGCTGTGAGTGTGTGATTGACATAAGCTGCACCTAGGAGCATGTGTGTAACAAAAGGGAACGCACACGTAACATGCCTCCCCTACCCCATCCAACACTGTCTATCATTCTTAACTGATTTTCTTCTTCCAATGTTTGGGTCCCAGAGCCAACCACAATCCCCATTATTCTGGGGATCCCTAGAGATCACTTTTGAGTGTAACTGATGGTCCCTGCAGCAGGGACCAACTTCCAAAAAGTGTGAAGTTTCCGCAAATAATTCAAGATCTGATTAATTCACTCAACGTCCACAAGGCTGTTGTCTTTTTTAAGATGAATATGATTAAAAAAAGGAACATGTAAGCCACCAAGCCCACACGCTTTCGGTTAGGCAGGGCAGAAATTTAAAATGGCTTCCTTATGCTCAACCATTTCATATGAAAACATAGGAATCAGGGATACAGGATCATCTTAATTGATCAAGATCATTTTTGAGGTCACTTGTTAACTGCAGAAACTCTAGAATTTTGCCCTGGTAAGATCAGCATTGCAGAGAGGTCTATAATGAAAGCCTCCATCCACAGAGTTTCCATGGATGTTATAAAACCAGGGTGGATAAAAATTAAAAAAATCAGATTTTTTTGATTTAAATCGGATTTTTTTTATTTAAATCGGATTTTTGTTATTTTTATTGAATTTATTTTAATAAACTTTTGGGGTAAAAATCTATCGTAAGGTAGTTTTCTATTTAAGATACATAAATAATTTAGTTTATTCAGCATGAAATGGAGCTTAGTTATGTAGCATGAGGCTGTATATCCTGCAATACTGGGACTATTGGTGAGTCAACAGTGGGTCAAAGGAGTAGCAGAGATGACAGTGGCTCTTTAAAAAATTACGATTTAAATCGAGTTGATTTAAATCAAGCCTTTTTACTAGTGATTTAAATCATGATTTAAATCGTGATTTAAATCAACTCGATTTAAATCAAATCCACCCTGTATAAAACAGAAAGATAATTTTCATTACTGATCACAGCTGTTAGTATACACCACCTAACCGAGTTATTTTGCAAGAAAATAAAAATACCAGGAAACTGAATCTTGCCCTCAGTCCCTGTGCTGTACAGAGAGCTCAGAGGAAGCCGAAAAGTTCACTCACCTCAACGACCTTGAGAAGCCAAGGACAATGGAAAGGATATTCTCCGCATTCCCATGCTGGATTTCTGCTCCCCTTGGTGCTTTTGTGAACTTTTCTAAATCAGAGCCCCCTCACCTCAAGTGCAGTTCGTTCCTTCTTAAATGTTTCTTGTTCTTAAATGTTTCTGCTTTCACATTTCACTTTCGCAATGAAAGTTCCGTTAGGGACGGTTGCAGCAAGTTTGAATTCCATTTTCTCTTTCATTTTGTTTGGGTTTGGCTTTATAAGGCTGAAGTGGGAACTCTTTGCCACTGGGAATCGGGGATAAATGTTGGAGCTTGTCTGCATGCACACTGAGAGCAGCAGTTGTCTGTCTCTTGCAGCCTCAGACTAACGTATAGGGCTGGGATTCAAAGGCATCCCCTCCAATTCTTAACTGAATAAACCATGGTTAGTTAGGTGTGACCCTTCGTCTTGGAAACCCCACTTTTATCTAGTTGTGGGAAGTAGGGAAGGGAAGGGTCTGCAGAGCCTGGATAGCTCTGCAGACAAAGGCACTGTAATTTAACACCAGCTGTCTGCAATTAAAGTAAGTTCGAATCTCGCCAGGCTCAAGGTTGACTCAGCCTTCCATCCTTTCTAAGGTAGGTAAAATAAGGACCCGGTTTGTGGGGGCAATAAGCTGACTTTGTATAAAAAATATACAAAAGGATGAAGGCATAATCATAATCATAAAATATAATCATCATAAAACGTAAGATGCAACATTTGGTGTTAGTCATAGGTGTTAGTCATAGGATACTACATAAGCAATCAACAGAAATCATAATAGGATACTAAAAATTGCTTAACGCACTGTAAGCCGCCCTGAGTCTCCAGAGAAGGGCGGCATATAATTAAATAAAAAAAAGGGGGGGAGCATTCATTAATTCGCACTGTTTTAATTCGGGCCAAAGTATATAATTCTTTTAATTAATTTTAAATTTTGTATTGTTATGTATTTTAGTTTTGGCTGTGCCTGAGTCCTGAGTCCACTAGGAGAAGGGCGGTATATAAATTGAATAAATAAATAAATAAATAAATAAATTAAAGGCCTTTCATAGAAAAGGGGACAGAGAAATTAGACCAAGCACAGGTCAGAGCTGAAAAAGCTTCTTGGATGAGAAGCAAAATGTCTTCAAGGAAAAATACAAACTCCAGATGTCTTTTGAAAAAAAACACTTTGCCGACAGAGCAAAGATGGTTTTGCCACGTTTTTAAACTGCAGTAATTAACCACAATCAACATTGCAGGATTGTTGTTGCATGGCCCTTTTTCATCGCCACAGCCTGCAGTTTATGTATAATGAACGTGACAAATATTAATGCTTTTCCTTTAAACAATTCGCAGGATTCAGATGAAGTAACGGTATAACAGAATTGAAAGGCACTGGATTGGAAGGGACCTTGTAGGTCATCTAGTCTAACCCCCCCCCCATCCAAGCAGCAGGAGCCCCTACACCATTTTTAGTTTTTAGTCATCTCCAACATAATTTATATATTCCACTGTTTGCCATAATAATCTTTCTCTTTAATTTTTGTTAACCAATGTTACCCTTTGCCCTAATCTCTAATCTTAATCAAATTCAATTTTTCCCTTTTCTTTCTCCAAATTAAAACCCTTAAATTCCAAATCTCACAACATAAATATTTTTCTTTGTCAACTTTTCCAGATATTACAATCCAATATCTTACTAAAAGCCCCTTAAATATATCATTCCTTTCCATTGCTTTTTCAAATTTATATGTGGTCCTTCTTATTAAACAATAAACCAAGTTACTTTGCACCGTACATCTTAAATCCAATTTTATTGATTGATTGATTGATTGATTCGATTTATATGCTGTCCTTCTCCGGAGACTCAGGGCAGTTTACAATGCATTAAGCAATAGCCTTCATACTTTTGTATATACCTGCTTAATAGGGCTTTCACCCACCCCCCTAAGCGGTATTCTTTTTTATACAAAGTCAGCTTATTGCCCCCACAATCCGGGTCCTCATTTTACCTACCTCGGAAGGATGGAAGGCTGAGTCAACCTTGAGCTTGGTGAGAATTGAACTCGCAGTAATTGCAGGCAGCTGGCAGCTAAGTGCTACTTTAACAGCACTTTAGTCCGCTGCTCCACCAAGGCTCTTTCAATTACTTTTTCAAATATATATATATTTGTGCCGCTTCAAACAATATTTTAATCACTTTTAATTGAACAGTAAATCTAATGAATTCATAATACAATATAATTTCCAATTTTTTAGTTAAATTCCAAGATTACAATTAAAAATGTTCCAATTTTAAATTGGGTTTTAAATGTTTTACATAAATTGGATGTTTTTAAATTTGTTTTTGAGCCCAAATTATTTAATCTATTTTTAATAGCTTTTAAATTTTGTATGTTATTTGTATTTTTACCTTGGCTGTTCACCGCCCTGAGTCCCCTGGGAGTAGGGCGGTATATAAATATGATAATAAATAAATAAATAAAAATTGTTGCATTTTCTATAGTTACAATTAAAGATATTCCAAATATTACAATCTTATTCCAATTCATTTATAAATCATTATCTTGACTTCTTCGTAGCTCTATGTGGGCGCCCTTTCTCAGTTGCCTTCCCATTGGGTTTGAAAAAAACGCGGGCCGCTTTAAAAAAAAAAAAATCTCTGCCCTTTTCTATCTCTGCGCTCCCAGTGACGTCGGCCGTATTTTTT